GGAATTTTGCGCTTTGCTCTTACTGCTTTTCGGTAATCGAAGGGTTAACTGAAAAGATGCCATAGGGACTGCAAAAATCAAATGGGGTCTTGTTTGCTTCTCACTCTAGCAAATTCAGTCGCACTTGATTGATAAAAAATTGTGGTATCGACATTCATGCGATATCTAAAACCGCTATATTTATTGATAAATGAAAGCGCTTTTTCTGAATTCAGACCTAGACGATAAGGACTTACAATGCAACTACAGTACACCTTTTTCAGTTAACACTCAACATGGACAAGATTCTACCAGTTCTGTACAGCTGCGCATCACCGACGAGTGGAGCAGGAGTACGTTTTCTTTGCTCCATTTTCCGTGAAGTACCTCACTAATGAATACTACAGAAAGTGACCACCATCCAGCTGGACAGAATTCTAATCGGTTGCAATCAATTACTGCGAGGAACTGGTGCATGGAGAAGTCATGCAGCTCTTCTGGAAAATCTCAGTGTGCTGAAGACGTGTTTACCGTACACCCAGCTTGCTGACACTTTTATTCCTGTCCTACAAAAAGAAGTCCTTCAAGCTGTATGTTTTTCGAATGCCTCTTTTAGTTTTCCTCTATTAGCTAATAGTTTTTAGCGTGCTATTCCTTGCCGAGTGGCTGCCGTTAATACGTTATTGCAATTTATGCGAGAACAGCCGGATAAGAACAAGCGGGAAGAGATCATCGAATTCTTTAACATTGGTCAGTCACATTAAAAACTGCAATATTTGCAACATCCTCAGGTACTCTAAATGAGTAAAAGTTGTATAAAAAACGGTTTTTCGGTTACTGAGAACACTGGAGGGAACCTATTTTTTAACGGCTTACAAGAGAACACAGTATAGAGGCCAGCACGGCTCCGGGACAACTTGTAAAACTTACCAAGTTCTGATGGATTGTTTCATTTCAGTTTTCCTAACATCTCTCGGCTTTAACCTTATTTGCTTCGAAGGGGGGGGGAGGGTCAAAGAGGATCAGGGCAGCTTACCACGAAAACTTGCAACGTATAATGAAGTTCACTTCACTGTATTTCGGTGGCTTTTAGTTGTAGGAAGCCCTCATTCTCTTTTGACATTGCCAGTTAAAGGCGCATACTGCCCTGGTTCTGCGGGCGGGACCAAGTCTACAACCGCTTCTTTTTCATTGGGGCTTCTCTTTTTTCTCCGCTTCGGAAAGGAGGGTGCGCAAAGGGGGAAGGCACAGTGGGCAATCCGGCTCCGCCCATACGACGAGCGTGATATGCATTCGAGCGCGCAATTGACGCTATCACTTTTGTTTCATCTTTCGCGCGGAACATATTTATGTGCGGCATGTTTCTATGCGTTCAAATCCTGTTTGACCTCGATAAACGTTATTTCTAGAATCCTTCATGGGTTGGTCACTCTAATGCTCCTCCCACTAGAGAGAGCGATCATAGTTTTCCCGCAAAGTTCCGCGCTGAATCTGAACGCTCGTATTGCATCTGGTATATACTTTAGCTGGCAATACAGCTGGTAGTGGTTTCGCGCGTGGGGGTGAGCACCTGCGAAGGTGGAAAGTGGAACGGAACTGCTGCTGGTGGTCGGAAGCTGCCCTAACATGTCCTAGAAAAAGAGGCACTCTCGAAGTTCGCATTGATACCGCATTCACATACGCAGTTTATCGTCTATGCGAATAATTTCGAAGATTCTCTTTCAGAAGTGGCTGGGCATCAATGCTGTTACCGTCGGCAGCTTTATTTGGACGTCGTCGAGTGTGTGTTGAAGATATTTAGTCGGAAATTTTTCATTCAGTATTTCTTAGAGAAAATGTTGTCACTTATTCAAGACAAAGTCTCAAATATCAGGTGGGTCTATTTTCATTTATAAGTACGTGCTTTATATGTACTCAATTATAAATGTAAACCATTTGTACAGCAGTGGCTCAATTAGAGTGGCGACGACTGTCGCTAAAGCGTCAGCTGGCTCGAAGTCTACAGGTGCGAGCCTTCTAGACTTCGAGCCTGGCACTAACCTAGTTCTTGTAGCTAGACGTGAACGGTGACCTGTTCTTGCCTGGTACGGCATTGTGGTCTTCCTGACCGACATGCGTTCTCCAGAACGCGACGCCAGTTGCCGCGCCATCCCATTTTTCCAGTACTGGCCCACACCCTATGTCATGACGGCACACCATCACGTTATGGAACGTTTTGCAAAATACACCCCATGTTATTTACCCAACGGTTGGTGCGCCCTGATTTGCAAGCCTCAAGGGTTTTTATGGAATTCTTCCCCACGAAACGGACATACAATTAATGCACCGAGACAGTCTAGCATACAATTGAAATACTGGGATAATCTTGCTGCAAAGCGCCTCAATAATGAATGATATAGGTTTTTTTTCAGGCTTCGGACGATTAGGCTCCTCCCATTCGTTAAAAAGTATCTGATTCTGCCTGACGACGAAGAGGTCCTTCTATCACTGGAGAAAGCCGTGCGGGAGACACTAACCACAGAGAAGCAACCCAATACGCGGCAACTGGTGCAGACGGTTGGTTACTCATTAATCTGATCACCTGCCCGATAGTTCCCGTGGTACATGAATGCTGATCTAAAAATTGTTCGGGAAGGGGTCATACAGTGCTGGAGATGAAGACACCTAGGTATAGAAAACGTTTGTACCAGAGACCCAAAAGCTGGTGATCTTTTTCCGAGCACCGGCGGAGCTTTCTACTAAATAATGGGATAAAAAGAACATCTCTTCAGCGTGAAGGGAATGGGAGACGACACGTCTGATGGGAAGGAGATACCCTGAGGGCCTGAGCAGTATTCGATCAACCCTATCCTGACAGCGACAACCCTATGCAGAATACTGACAGCGAAGTCAGCGAATGAAGCCACCATGAGCAGCCTGCCCCTATCTCTTGAATAGGATTTTGACAATGTTGCAGAGCAACAACTACCCGATGGAGCCGAATGTGCCTGTTTCATGTATGGTTGATGGTCGGAGGTGACGTACAGTTTTTCCAGGCAGCATGTGAGCTTTCACGAACCGAAACGAGGACAAAAGATGACAAGGAGGATGCGGCTCGAGAAAAAGAAGAGCAGCGCCTCTGGAGTGAGGACAGGCTGATACAGAATGCAACACCGAAGAAAGAAGAATCGCCAAGTCCGGCGAAAGATGCGAAGAATCTGCCTGTGCCAAGGTAAACACTCTTTGCTACTCGAACTGCTCAAAACA